TTAAATCAGTCTCGTTTCTTCTTTATAAGCATGTAAAGTTTAACCATCTCGATTGTAGCTGTAACCTTGAAACGTGTTCGGTGCTAAGTGCGCATTGATAGATGTATGCTGCATCGTTTGATTAGGATTAACGGTTGAAATGAACTGAAACCTACTTCATCTTGTTTTTTGTTAAATAGACAACAAACGTCAGTGACTATCTGATACAACCATTACTGCTTTATCGCCTTCTTCAAACATTAAGATATGAGAAGACAAATTGGTAGAGTTCGTAACGCAAAAAGCCTACTCGCAACTTGAATCCATTTCCACTAACTGCAGTTAGAATGGATTTATAGGATAATTTATATCGTTCTGCAATACTTGCTTCAATTTTTCTCATGCTCTTACTTGAAGATTTGTTTATTTGCAGCTTGCTGAATTACGAGAAACTGAGCAAGATACTTGAAATTTTTAAAGTGTATTTCTGAAATTGAATGAATAAAGTTAAAGTTTATCAATCAAGTAGATGACGCACATATTGTGGCAGATACAGATGGTAGCATGCGGTGTAAGTGTATTCAAAAGCTTACCAAAGAGAAGTGGAGTTCATTTACAATTAACTAACAGACGACCATCTTAAATGCTGTCAAATCAGGCTGTTAAAAATAAAAGGAAGTGAGACACCTTTAGCATTAACACTGATAACGAACTGCAGCAATTGAAGAATGCAAGATAGAATGAAACGAAACCGGCAAAAGGTAATAGAAAACAACTTTTGAGACGTTTCTTCAAGTTTGGTATTTAAAATCGAACTATTACCCACACGACATATGCACGAAAAAAAATATACTACTAAAAGCTCTCATTTATGAGGAACATGAAATATCAGTTGCAGATACTTTTCATCGTCCAATTTTCAGCTCGTCAAATAAAGAGTGGAGAAAATGTGGCTTGTTTCCGACGTCAACGTTGATGGTGATATCGATCACGTTCTGAAACACACACAAATGGCTGCGTCTCCAGCAGTTAAAATGAACTCAAGGATTTATTCATGTTTTTCAGTCGTCAAGTTCCATGTCAGTTTCGCTTGTTCAGAGAGTGTTTAGGACTATTATTTACTTTGTGAATACTCTTTATTTGTAAGCATACATTTCTAGTGAAATTTGACATAGAATACGGTGATTAGTAAGCTGCTAATAGTCAAATCGAATTCTGAACAAAGATTTTTCTGAACACATTGGGAAACCATTCAAGCAGGTTTCGATGTTATTTTCTCAACTGAAATGAAACAAAATGTGGCTTTGAGATTCTTACTTGATGCAAACGGCGCCACTTTTTAGAATTGTTAGTAGTGACACATCATTTGTGTTTACTGCTACTAACATAACGAAATAAGTAAAATAAAATAATTTTATGCAAAATATATGGAAACACATACAAATTTTATGAAATTCAAAAGATTCGAAATTTCGGTTTTTTACAGAATACACGCTTACGATTCTCAATTGATGAAGAATAAGGAGAAACATACTGTTTCAGGAGACAAAGCTAGACACGACAGCTGTGACTGAATATGTGTATCTTGTGCTGTCTATACACTGCACTGAAATAGTGAAAATAGACTCCTAAACTGAAAACTTTCTACTGTAATCTCGAGTTGTGACACAAAATATGGTCATTCTAGAATGCAATCGCCTGCTTACCCAGCCAATAATTTACATGTTGTGCCCTTATGATTCAATAAATCCACGTTGCCAGTTCGGCTACAAATAAAAAAGTCGAAGAGTTTACATCGATTTTGGAGGTCTGGCGAAAGCGTTTCCTCGGCAACCTTTACTGTCAGCAAAATGAAAAATACGAATTCTAGAACTCGATATTTTTATATTGTTTGGCGAGTAAACTGCGAGTAAACTAAACGTTAACATTTTGATCAGAAGACCTAAACATAATTTAGTACCAAAGTTAAATAAAGCTCTACAAAATCACGCATCACATGCTCCAACCAAAAAAAAGGAACCTACTTCATTATACATCATCATCATGACAGTCGACACAACGGCTCATCGAATTATCGTTGTGGTGAATAAGTAGAATTACTGGGCACACTTTCTCTTAAATATCTTTATCAATCCTAAGAAACTTTCTAGTTGCTCTTACGTCTTGACCGAAGTCTGTGAGTTTACAAAAGCGTTCATCTTACCCTGTGTAATTTAGGCATTGTGTTTTTACTAAAATCTCTTCAGAGGAGAAGACCCAAACATTTTGTTACTATGATCAACTCTGAATGTTTCTAACAGAGACTTCAAATGCGCGACATATAATGAACTGACAACCACTCAAACTCAATAATATCAATATTATGCAGCTGTGTTCAAGGTTGTTAGTCCACGTATTTTAAATTTTAAAAACATAATCTTTTGTGGTGCTGTTCACTGACTTTTGTGGCAGAGTTAATAGTTGCGCACACAGCTATAAATTTTGATGAAATCGTTTTTGAACAAATTCACCCTCTTATTTATTCGTATTTGAATAAAATAAATGCATATTTTTCATAAAGTTACACATGCGTGTTCAGATGGGAACTATATTATCAATTCAAGCGGTTCTTATCAATTCCTATGATGTTTATTTGATGAATTGAAACGAAGACATTTGTGAGGGTGATACCTTTACACATGTCATGAAGTAACACTTTTGCGTATCCGCAAATTCTACAATAAAATTTGAGTAATGCCTGACAAACGGGATAGGTTCTGCATAAGTTCAAGAATTCAGTAAACATAAAGAATGTTTGACCTAAACTCTATGAAACATCTTTTTATTGGCAGGCATTCGTTCTAATATTTGCAAACGAACAACAGCTGGAGTTTCGCGACAAACTTCACAAGTTTACAATAAGATTTCTAATCATAATGTCAAACATCGGCTGCAATTTCCACAAACAGTAAAACAACAGCACATGACTATTTGAGTACGGCCAACGGAGATACGAAAAAGCATTACATTACTATTCACTATAGTAGTATACTAAAATTCAAGGTTAATAATGAGACATCTGTCAAGTTCATATACACTACTAATAGAAACAATAAAAAGTAGTATATGATCTGTATAATTATCACACAACTTGAAATGCAATACATAAATCTGATCTATAATTTTTATTTACTTTGTCGACTAGCATTGCTAGGAAGTAACTGTGTCCGCTCTGAATATAATCATATCAACTATATTTCAATGCCAATTATTACGGATTGTGATTGTAAAATCATGTGACAGATTTAGACTGTGAGCACCAATGATAGTGACTTCGACCAAGATTCTTTGAAGCTCATCGATTATAAGTTCAATAACTGTAGATAAGTAATAAGAATAACAGACATAAGAGAATATTTATCTAGAATAAAAGCTGATTATACTTTTTGTAAATGAAATATAAATTGTCCGTTAATTTGACCTTCAAACATTCCATAATAATTTCAGAAAGATATTTGTAAATCAGTTAAGAAAATAATTTCTTTTTGGTCAATGTAGAAAAAATTGGATACCAAATAGACACAAGTTGGTTCTGATATATTCTAATTGATCATTTCACAACATTTTCTTTATTTCCATTAAAAAAAAATTTTGATTAATTATTTAAAAGTCAATATGATAAGCTGATAACCTTTTTTGATAAACTGTTTAATATGGTTACGGTGTATTACCAAAAAGGAACGCAACTAATCAAAGTTACTAAAACGTTCATTGAAAGGTTTGCACAACAAGGAAAACGAAAAATCTCATAATATTTTTTAAGTCATCACAATGTTATAATTAGTAATGTGAAAATTTCATTGAATTGTGGATATTATATACATACAAAAATTAGACATCCAACAGTCTAATTTGAAAATGTTCACATAGATTGATAAGTAAGTATTTCATTTCACTCGTTTATTTTGTTACCGATTGTCAATCGACTTTGAATGAGATCCTAAAATAGCAGTAAAATGGGTTGAATACAACAAAATTCTAAACAGTATTTAATACCATCCGATAGGAATTCATTCGTTCACAACATTTTGCTTATCTGATTAAAGTGATGAACTTTTCGTCTAAATCGTTATGACTTGATCACGGAAAACTATCAATGAAGAAATGTCCACAGAAACAAAACAGCTTGTCACAGTTTTGAAGTGTTTATTTAAGCCTTAGATAATGGTTATTACTTTATTTAAACTGCTGAAATGAGAGTACAAAAAATGATGTTTTATTTCGATTATTTCTTTTTTTGCTCCCTTTAATCATGTGCTGAGAATTTTGAAGTATATTTATATTCTTAAATGTTAAGACAAATCGACATAAGGGCAGGCATAATTAGAAAACTTCAAATGCTGAACAATTTCCTGCAGCCTCGTTTATAGCTAACATACTATAATTAACGAAATCAGTTACCATAATTTTTGCTTAAGATAGTTTTTCATCATCACAACGCACCGAAATCCAATAATGTGCATGCCTAACCTTAAGCCTACTTCGTCTGTAATGCACTGTCTACAACGTATCACTTAAAAAAAATTAAAGCAATACATCGTGAAACTACTCTTAAATTCAACACTTGATTGATGATCTTGTTGAAGAAGATTTGTCGAGATACTTGTATTTCCTCAGTTGAACTTATTACTGTTTCTAATCCATATCACCATAACCAGTAAGATAGTTCTTCCTAGTTTCAGTAGCTGTTCAAGCTTCAATCTGCTCGTGATTTCAATTTTCAGAAAAATAAAACAATCTTTCTCTAACCAACCACTTCAACATACGCATCTTGCATAATCATATGTGAAGGTCAATTAAAACTTGATGATTTTTTCTCATGCTCAAGGTTACCAACCTACGTTTTTTTAATTATCGGCTATTCAAATGAGACCCATATTAGGTGTTACTTAAAATTAAATGTGATTCACCTAGAAGTGACCAATCGTTGTCATTGTAAAATGATATAAAAACGAACCCTCATGTTGCGATTTTCAGAAAAAATGTGGTGTTCATATATCCTTCTCATAACATTATTCCATTCAGTATTTCTACAATACATAGGAGATGGTATGTTTTATCAAAAACTTGTAAATATTTTATTTTGATTTGAATGCATTTATGGTGTAAAAATATTTCATAATAACACATAAATCAATCCGTTGTACATGTTTAATATCAGAGTCAAATTTTTATATTCTCAAACTTGCATGTTCACACTAATATGCTGTTGATAACCTGAAGTATACTGTTCATTTGAATTTTGAATTTGAAATATCTTTGAATTTATTAAAACATTTCCTTCTTTCCCGAACTTCGATAGCTGGCTATTATTGCAGACAATAAATTGACAGAATTTTTTATGATTGATTTATTTGTATCTTGAAAAATATTTGAAGACGTTGTAGCTCATGTAAACCACTGGTTGAGATGGATGAAACCTCTATATTCTGAAACCCTCACCTGATTTCAAACTAGAGCGGAAGTCCGTTTTTCGTTTAGTAAATTTATTGAACGCATATATCACCGCGGGAAAGCACTGAGCTGTTACACTGTCGCAGTGACTTTTACTAATTTTATTATATCACTATCGCGAATATCGCCGAAACGCTTTCTATTTTGAAACATTATTCTAATGTTTCGCTACATTTAATACTAGTCTCGAGGCCACATAAAATAACAGAGTTCAACTAATGTCATCGATTTTATCCAGAAAGGAATACTATCCTTTCAAGAAAGGGCTAATTGTAACAAATAATCTAAACCTTATAAAGTATGCCTTCAAATTAGTAAATGTTTCATTTAAATCAGTCATCCTGTTCATTTTTGAAAATAAAGTCTCTTCAAATGTCTTCAGACCGATGGCATTTTTTGCATTCCAAGAATACTTATTGTTCGTACACGCTGGGTGAAAGAAAGAATATTTCATGTTGTTTTAAAAATACAAAATATCTGTACTTGGCTCACTGAATTCAAGAGACATACTGGATTCTATTCGGCATAAAAGGAACATCGGAGTTTACAGTTTAGAATATTTTGTTATCTCAATTAATAACATTTATTTTCTGTGGCATTTAAAATACTTTTCCATTTATTTTACCACTTAGTTTCAAATGTGAACCCAGTAGAAATAGCAAAACAATTGACTGAAGTCTCTGGTAAGTTTTGTGAAGAACGTTGTTTTTAATGTTCGTGTGAATAAAGCACCAAAAGCCCGCATTCATATATATATATATATATATATATATATATATATATATATATATACTGATTATAAATATACAGAAGTATTAAAAAATAATGTATAAACTGCATTCTCTCACAAAATCTCTCGACCTTTATCTTGCTTTAATGGTTATAAACCTTTCGACTCCAAGTTACTATTTATTCGCTTACTTTGAATAGATGTCACAATTTTATTGAAAAACCTATTGATACACTAAGTCTTATGTAATCAACCTTATGGTAATCGTTATACATAAATAGTCAACATTCAAAAATATTCCGATTTGAAGGCATCCAACTTGAATAAACTAGCTAAGTAAACTGTGTTCATATTGTGCCACATCAGACTTTTGCTCTGTTAATTGCAAAAGAACTAAATTTCCTAGTTAACTAATAATGTTATTAAAAGTGATTGTAGTCAGTTGAATAAATGTGTTTATTTTGAAAAACCTGCCAGTATTTCTGCTCATCGAAATTTACTTATTTCATCCTTATAACCAATAGAAGCTGCTGTACTTAAAATAATGAACATTAGGTTCTACCGACACTGGATCGAAATACTTAGAGGTAAGTTGACAATGAGTTGATATTCTAACTTCACAATATACAGCTCATCATGAATCACAACATAATAACAATTCATGATAAAATTATGATTACTGAATTCTATTTCTATAATGATCATGCGAAAAATTCATGAAACTGAAATAATTCGAGTTCCTGCGAGTCTTCAAAAGTCCTCAGTCAACCGTAGAAAAAGAGCAAACTTAACGCCTCTGAATGGAGTTTCATGTGGACTTAATGAACACGTCTACACTGATTACTCTCATTGGAATGAAGTTTGATAAAAACACACTTTCCTAAAATTCGTCCATTTTAAGTAGGCTATTAACCTACCACACAAAAGAATAATAATTCAATCTATATGCCTTCTGTACAGGCAGCCATATACGAGCATATCTGAATATGTTTTTTGAAGTTCTTCTTATCAGTATTGAATTTTTAAATTCGTGTTTTTGTTTTATTTAGCTAAGATGAACATGAAACGTCCTTCTGACAAAGAATCAACTCACCAATGTAAGTGTAATCGACGTCGCCTACGTTTCCAATAAATAATACTCACTTTTTTAAATTTCAGATTTTAAATGTGAATATGCACGTTTAAGAAATTTTTATGTGCCTGAACTTATGATTAGTATGTTAAAAATACATTTTTCATTTCCCGCAGTAGAACAGATTTTGCATGATAAAATATGCATTTGAACTGTTCCTTGTATTTATCAATTTTGACAAGAATCAGTGCTCATTTAATTGTTGAATATCATTTCATCTAAAAGCTTAAGATTTTTAATTAATCCATTAACACTAACCAAGTTTCGATATGTTATTCATTTCTACGCTTTTAAAATTATTTTTTATAATTGCTGCTCTGATTGTCAGAGGAATCATCCCGTACTCGACATTTTGAACAACTCGATTTTAATCTCTTCACTAAACACATCCTTAGCATTTATTTTTATCTCGGTATGAGAGATGTAGTAATCCTTGGAAATACTTAGCTGAAGTTAGAGTTTTCTGATAAGAACCTCTTACAGTGATATATCCACCTCTTACTATCTCAAGTGAGCAAGTATATATTCTCAAGTTCGTTGCACCAGCCTAGTCAATTGAAGTAACGCAAATACAACGTTTATGCCAAAAACCAATCATTTACTAAAAACGGAACAGAATCAGCATAAAATTCGAAGATTTGAAAAAAACAAATCCACAAAACAACAAGAACTGCATTTCTACGATTTATTACAACGGTAAATTAAAGTCCACAATTTCAGTGACAATTTCAAGGTAATCATTTGGAAGGTAGAAGCAATTAATGAGAGTCGTCTATGCAAAAAATGTTTCAGACACCATCAGTAGAATTCTGCTGTTGAAGAAAAACATAACAAACTTTGTCCTAGTTAGTAATAAAGGGGAAAAATACTAGACGTGCAAAAAACAAACATATATGAAGCCGTTTGACAGTCACATATAATAATTTTAAACGTAAATGAAATGCAGAGCAATCTGTATTACTGATATTGAGGTAATAATGTTTAAAAACTAATATTCCATGGACAATTATTGAAAATAAACCTTCACATTATTGGATGAAGTGTAAATGGTAATACCGCCTGTTCACGTTACAAAGGCCATAGTGTGTTTAAACCTGATTTCGTCTAACTGATATGCATTCTCAACTATCCTGTACCGTAAGATCAGTAGACTGCCATTTTATTAAAGACACTGATAATAATGTTATCCATCTCTTTATTACTTAGTTTCAAATTTATGTAGGCAGGATAAATAATATTGAATTCATCCTTAAACTCAGTGTTATGACTGATATGATCATGAGTCAGAAAACATTATTGTAATTTTTGATGTACATACGTGGTTGAATGCTTCATTAGAGTGTCAACTACTTGTGCATATGCAACAAAATATTAGTCTGTACTAATCTGATGAATTTTTGAACACATGAATAGTGTTAACTCATCTTGAAAAAACCAATGTAAAACTATCTCTCCCTATAATAATAGCTAAATCTGTACAATGTTCATTCCTTTGTACTTAAACATAGATTTCGCTAAATTGGTGACTTCTGTAGAAGAGAGACTCAGTGAGTATTCAAGCTAATAATTTGCTTCATTATTAACAATTTATTATTATTCAAATATTTGAAAACAATTAATCTTTTTTTTTTTATAAACTAAAAACATGTTGTCTATTTTTTTTAAAAAAAAATGGTCAACACATTATTCATTATATCTCATTGTCAAGATAAAATAATTCCGATCACATACAAAAAACGTTCATTTATTTTTTATACAGATGTTACCATTTTGAAATCATTTGAATTGCAAGAATGTTTCAAAAAAAGAAGTATGCATTATTTAGGTAAGTTCATATAGAGTATAATATGTAATTAAGGAAAATTCGTATTCTGAGTAAAATTAAAATTTTTGGTGTAAATAAATATCTGCTCAATACGATAGATAAAAATTTATTGTCGCTGTATACTGATTCTTGTTTTGATTATAAAATAATTGCTTTTATCACCGTCTGATTGATTGAATAGTAGAGTTTAAGCAAAAACATTATTATTACGAATTCTATAATCGAAATTTATAGAATCCACGGATATCGATACCTTCGTGTATCGAAAATCGTGGTTATGCATTGCTTGAAAGGATAATTTGTCTTTTCAGAGCTTGAAAGTTTCCAAAATAAGTTTTACAATGATAGGTTGTTATGAATTCATTGAAAAATACAATTTGTTTTACGTAATATATTCACAAGTATGTCATGAATTTCATTTATTTATGAAAGTTTTATGATGTGTTTATTTTGTATATATTTATAGATTTATCATTTAAAGCGGAATCCGATCAATGTTATGTACCAAGTTACTTCACTGAAGAAGGTATTATTTAATTTTGTTTCAAATTTACCGCTTTTATTGTTAAATACTCAAGCTATACAAAAAATTCAATTGTATAATCCATACTCCTATAAAAGAAACATTTTGTCAACAATACCACATACAATTTTTGATAACTAATCAATGCAATTCTAATCTTTCCGTCATTAATTGAGAACTTCGAGGTGCGAGGTTCCTAAACTTTGTCAAGGCTTTGCATATAATTCAAATTGTAGTCATTTTCAAATATTTGAAAGTCATCAAAATAGAATTAATTTGTCATATCACTTCAAGTTTTTGATAGTGTAGGTAAAAAGCACCTTAATCTTATTTAAGCTATCAAAAAGTGAATTATTATTATTTACTATTTACATTTCCGTTATGAATAATATTTTTTTTCTTATTTGGTAATGCGATCTTCACTAAGCTCAATTTTTTTTTATGTTCGCAAATATAATCGCATGATTATCTTTTTCCAAACTTCAGTGATATGCTGTCCACTTTCTATGATTAATAGATCATCAATATTTTGTCTGACCGATAAATGTAGATTGCTTCATGAATTTTAAAGCTGTGAATCTGGCAATGTTTTTGAATTTGACTATATATATTTACATTATATAACTCATTTCGGAAAAAATAACGGAGTTTTTTGAACGAAAATTCTTTTTGTGCAGAGAAACTTAACGTATCGTCAAGTTTAGAACAAGAACGCATCTATTTCAATAATATTAACTTGGATTCATGTAAGTTATGATAATTTTACAGTTTTGAATAATTTTTCTTTTTCGCTTTTTTTCGAATATCAATGCTTAATAATTAGAACGATTTGTAAAATTTGTTTTATCGTATTTCTGATTATTCAATTGACAGTAGTTATATGAACGTTTAAAAGTCCTGGGATTTTTCGGTTACATAAGTTCAAACCCAGTGATAGATTCGTATTCTGATAAGCCTTGTTTATATTTTAGTATTTCGTAATGTATGCTGATTTTACGACACTACACACACACAATTAACAGTAATATAATTATGTATACTGCTATCGCACATAGTACTGTTAAGACTAACACATCTACAACTACTGTTTAAACGAATCTACATCAATGTATTTAAATAGAAACTCCGTACACAATGATGCCGTGGTATTCAGCTATTATTTACTTTCGTTTTATAAAATTTTATGAATCCTAATAGAGAAATTCCGAAAGTTGAAATCATAAACGCATCCAAGGTTGAAGAATAATTAAAACTGAGAAATACTGTAGAGCCATTTCATTAGAATAAATCAGTTCACAAAATAATAAAAATCCTAACTGGTTCACTTGCATGATATAATCATTCATGTGAATGGCTTCAAGATGTCCCTTGAAATTCAATGAAAATTCGTGGCTGTTAGATTTAAATCGCAGTTGGTCTGAATTGAGGCATTCACAACAGAGAATAATAGCAGGTAAATAAGGGAATATGTGCTGAAAAGCGAATACCGTGGATTATCATGGTTGATAAGCTGCATAATAAAATGTAAGGAAAGTCTATGTTTAAGACGTTTTCTTATAGTGGTCACACGGTTGTCAATCCATCGTTTCAAGTATTTAAATAAACGCACACGACAGAACAATTCAGATACCAGGCATGTTATTGGCAAATATCAATTACCTGATTCTCTGAAAGGTATGACTTATGAAGGAAAATACTTATTTTTCTTCGTTAGCAGCAAGCTTAAAAATTTATTTTATTGTAATGTGAAAGAGGACATTCATTTCGAATTAGTAATTTAAATCATTGATCGATCACAAAATCAAAATTGTAAACGCACAGCATCGACGATGAACCCCTTCATCTCAGCACAAATCTGTAACAGTGATTGTGAAAGAAATTCGTCGATATTCAGTGATACCTAAAGTCTTCGAAACAATAAACTTGAGTTCAAATAGTATTCAGTATGCATATAATTTTGTTATAATTTACGTTCTGTTGTTATTTTTAGTTATGTTTAAAATACTGTCTGAAATTTTCCAAAAATCAGCAGCACGTAAGTGTCAACAATTGTCAATATTTGTAAAGATCAATGTAAGTAGTCAAAATATTGTAGGTAATGTATCGCATAGAAAGACCATCTGAATGATAATAACGATGAACAAAACGCGAGAAACGGCACTAATATTCCGATATCCGTAATTATACAGATTATGTTTACCCTTCTATCAACATCACTGAGGACAAAGTGAGAATAGATGGTTTCAGTATTACGTTTTACTGAAAAATATAATCATCCACTCTAAATTGAATGAAATCACACAATCTTGGTATTGATTATTACATAAATCAAATTCTGACGTGACATTGAGCATGACAGAATTTCACTATTGCAATACGTTTTAAAGTAGATTGGTGACATTTTTGTTTTTCTTCATATTATTGAACTTTCAATCATTGATGATTGATGTTATATGACATCTCGAATAATACGCTGTTTCCTAGGACTATCGACGTCAGTTATTGATTCAAGCTGCAGATAATGATCTATCGCTTCTAAACAAACGCACAAATGTTAATAAAGTCATGGATATTATTCAGTTTTTAATAAAATCACAATTTGTTCAATATGTGACAACGATTGAAAACGGAACACATTTGACAGCCAAAGCGTTTTCGTATGATGAAATGTCCTAGGGTTTTAAGTAGGTTTGTACAGCCGATCGCATTTTTTGTGCGTTTACAAAAAACACTGATTTTTCATATTAGAGGTGGGCCTTATTTTCAAATTTTGAATAGTTAAACAAGAAGTATATTGACTGCTGCTTTTCGGAATAGTATTTGTCTTTAAAATACGCACTTACGATCACAATATCCTGAGCGATGCTTAGGGTACGAGTAGTTTAACACTGCAGTACTACCAAAAGTAGTAATATATTATATGCGGTTGTACAATTACGAATATGGTGTCCTCCTTTGATAAAATATCAGGCACTTGAGTATACAGATTATATAAATTCATTGATCAGTTGCTACTAACACCTTAATTCAGAACGTGAGGAAGTGTTATGCTAAAATATGATTTTCTCTTTGAATACTAGGTAATATTGTGCGGTTGTCAAATCAAAAGACGTTTGATGTTGAGATTACTGGTTCTCAATAACAGAAAATGGTTCTTCGATATTTATAAATATCAGTTAAATTTTAACTTCAATAAATAAATATTTTACGGATGTCCGTTGTTCTTAAATGAAATACGGAAATATTATCTGTATTACTGAGTCGTGTCCAATGTATACGAATTATACAAAATTCTGAAACTGAGAAGGCAGAAAAAACTGAGGAAACGCAATTTGGTGACGTATTCAAATGTTCGTCTGTAATAACACATATTTCATTAATATATTTAAGTCAGTTTTACATTCGCTCACTTCTGGATGAAACTCTGTGTGATGTGCACACTAGATCGTGTCATACCTCAAGGACATACAATTTTGCGAGCATATATTAAAGCAATTATTTTGTACTACTCTCTGTGAATTTATAGCGTTATGTATTGAAAAACACAGTAAAATTTGCGTACTTAATGTAATTGGAAACAGGTTGGTGTAACGAATAAAGAAGCAGAACATCCGAAAACTTAGAGATAGAAGTCACCAGAAACACGTTGACAATGAAAACATTAAGATTCTCATTTGATATCAATAATAATTTCTACAGTTATAAAGCTATCGTTAAATCGTTAAAATGATTGCATCTTTCACGTCAATCTGAATGTGCTTTTATGCCTCGATCAATCGTTTTTAATGTATCATCATTAATAATGAGTCAGTTGAAAGCTTATGCTGTACTTGAGAATATCAATGTTATTTTCGTCCATACTGAAGACCAGCTGAAGGTTCTGAATAAAGCTTTTATTTGAGTAGGTAGAACATCAATCACAGCTCTGAAAATTTCTTGTATGAATAGATTTCGAACGAACAGTCGAGCTCTACATTCAAACATTAAACGTTATTTTGCGCTTGTCTTATCGAGTTACAAAACCTTGTGTTTATAAATCTTTATCTGTCTAGTTCAGCATCTGTTTCTCATGATGCAGTCTTATTGATAAAAACGAAACCAGTTTGAATGACAAGATTAAAAGCATTCTCAATGTTGCGTCTGCTTCTTTGCTAATAGGACATTTTTAATTGTACGCCAAACATGAGTTTTTCAATAAACACACAAAGTCATTTGAGCCCAACGTTAAGAAATCCAGCTTGGCAATAACTGTCTAACCGTAAGGTTCACGATCTGTACACACTGAAATCGGTTGCGCTAAATTATTCTAATATTGCTTGATTGCCAATTGAATGGCCATGTATTAACTTTTGAAAGTACGATTTCGTCTGGATAAACAACAGTTCATGAATGATCATTTATGATCCCTTGAAAGTGAAAACCTATAAAATGTTGACAATTGAGATGATATCTTCTGGTATTCAGTATTTATACAAGTTTGCGACAATCGATATGTATTATTTTGCAATTGTGGTTAGGCGTGAATTCCTGTCAGCACATGAAATAAGCAAATAGATTACAACAGATAAGCACCAGTAGGTAGACACTTTTAAAAGTTGATTGAAGGCCCTACAATGATAAAATACCATTTACTTTGCGTGATCAGTCCCAACGATTACATTATTAATGATCAATATGTGTAAAAGAACTGAATAACATAGAACCTGGATTTCGCCATGAATGATTTACCTTATTATTATAATGTGAGCAGGTTACTCAAAGAATTTACGACATCATGCCTTCCTTCAAATGTGTATTCAGATATTATTTCTATAATGCCATTCAGTAAAACGATACTCAAATTCAACACTATCAGAATTCAGTAATGTGACTCTTACGCAATAGATAAAACTGAAACCCTCACTCACAATTCCAAAATTCAATCCATCCCCACACATCTTCCTAATCAATGACAAGGTCATTGTAAAAGCTTCACTGCGTAACCGGGTTGCTTTAGTGATAATAATAGTAATAATAATAATAATAATTTATTCTCAAATAACAAACATGTTACAAGAGACATGTCAATTTACAGGCAAGATCAAAATGCTAAGATTAGCAACATATTTGTTTTAAAACGGTATACAGTTACTGGAACATTTCACAAGATTTTTTGGATTCCTATAGGTGAAATGTACAATGCAAATAATTGGCGCAAGTTACGAAGGTTGCGTTACGACAATCATCTTATGGGCTGAGAAATGATTCATGGTACAGACAGGTTTTCATATAACAAGAATTGATGCGGTAAATGTACAAAGGTCTGGTTGATATTCGTCAGCTAATGATTTCACATGTTCTTGGGTAGGGTAACCAAGTCTACTGCAAATATCCAGACTAATATATGTGGATCGGAATAAGGTTCTGAAAAAAGAGGAATAAAGAAAATGGGAAGAGGAGGGGAACAGAAAATATTCTTGTTCAAAGCCGAACAACGGCTTCGCACATACGCTTATGGATAAAACAAAGGTATGTCTACTCCGACTTTTATAATATCAGAACACTAACTGTACACCTGCACTTATGTAGGTTAATGAAGACAATTAAGTAGTGAGATGACTAATGGGAAGTTAGTCGTATGAATAGAGGAAATTCAGAAGAACCAAGTTGTTAGTAATAATGTTGATTTACAAAATATAATAAAGAAGCTCAGTGATATAATTTTTTTCATTTCATTTATTCATTTTTATTTTTAACTCTGAGGCTCAAGAAGTTATGAATGAGCTCTTTCTTTTTTTAGTATAGTTGTCCAGACCAGCTTGTAATAGGATTTCTTGGTAGGAAGTAAAAACCAGTTCAAGGTGACAGACATGAGTTGTAGACGAGGTTAGTAAGGAAAAGTAACATCAATACCACTGATTTGTTACATCCTGCTATATCGTAAGGAGCCGTGAGCAAAAAAATGTTTTGCCACACAGACATGGGTAGATTGAGGTTATCGCCCAACCGTCATGAATGCTGGTCAGATACACCACCCTCCCTGCTTTTGTGATGTTAGGCTCTCCTACGTTTAATGGTTGATTGTAAACAATGGTCTCTAGTCTTCTCTCATCATCAATAATTTTGAATTTATTAAAACCATAATATTATATAATATATTTTGTTTAATCTGTCGGTAAAATAAATTTCATGTATGAAACTCCATGGATAACTGTCATCTTCCGTACATGAACCAAACTACACTGGTGATCACTTTTTTCTGATACTTACAATAAGATTTATCGGTTCTTCATAAAATATTGTTCACACTATCATATACTTGTCATATCATTTTCCGAATGACCCACTATTGCGTGCATGTCACAGAAATAATAGCTGTACACAGGCTAGTGGTTTGTTACGCTGGATATTTTACAAGCATGTGAGTTTGTGTAATGTATAGTTGAATGAACGACCACAAACGTCGTTGGTGAAATCATAGTAACATAATACTAAACTACTCTATATCATTTGTCAACTAATCATTATTATTATTATTATTTTTGATCTAAGTGCATTATTTAAATTATAAGACTGATTTTGATATTGTTTGAGTTTACATGTCCAATTTAACTCAGTGAACTATCACAAAATCGTTTGTTCATTTCATCAAACTACCCTAATGACAATGGAAAAGATTGTTGCTTCATTCTGATATCTGCTTGAAGATTTATCAAAATCACACATGTTCATACGGACATAAATTCAAAGAACTAAGTTTACTCATTTTTAACTCATAGTATAATTGAAAGCAAAGAATCACTAGTTAGGTATTATGTCCTAGTATGTAATAATTCATCGATGATGATGTGAGTATAAGAATAATCGAACTGTCGAATTGCAGTCTCGTATGTGAACGCATAGTATCCTCACTACTGAATCGACATCCAATAATCGATCATACATTATATTATCATTGCATTGCAATTTCTATCAGCTACATGCAATGGTTAACTGTCTCCTGTACAGGTTATATAGCGAAAATGTTTACAGACGATAATAAATCCAAACGTCTCATATTTAGCCATTCAAAATGATTCTTGTTGGTAAATGAATGAATACGTGATATGCAACTAC